TTTTTTTCAAATGGAAGTACTATTTTCTTTCGACTGATATAACGTTGGTACTTACTTCCATTTATTTGAATTTCTGCCAAAGTCGGCAAATAAGCCTTATTTAAAAAACAAACTAACCACTAACAGCTAAGTTATAAATGTCATCTAGTTTACAAAGCATTAGTTTGTATTAGCATAAACATTGATTGAAATAGGTTTGACTGAAAATGTATATAAACTAAGTAAATCCAACATGTTAATGTTAATGAAGATTAAGAAATGGTAGACATGATATTTTCTCTTGGAGAATGTGACAAACATACATCATTAGCATCAAGAATTTATTAGCAGCGATATCCCAATAGAAGGCATCTTAAAAAAATCTGCTTTTGGTTCATTGCCCGAGCGATTCAGAAACACTGGACTCGTGAGATTTACAAAACGTAACAGAGAGGGTAATAAATAATTAACGAAGACCATGAATTTCTGGTGTTGGGAAGCGTACAAGAAAATCCACAATGCAGTATATGCGATATTAGCGGGACTACTGATATCCGTAAGACCTCGTTGCAAAAAATTTTTAAAAAAAAACAAATACCTTATTATATTCGGCTGCATTAGGAACTATTTGAAGAAGACTTTGAGAAGAGGCTTAATTTTTGTCACTGGGCAGCTGAACAACTTCTTCGGTAACGTTGTACATTTGTGGTGAACAGAGTTGGAATAAGAGTTACTACAACGAGGTAAGCTTATAAAGCTTATATTTAAGGCTCCCCAAAAGTCTTGGACCCTATTTTTCGAAACCAAGCATGTTATCGAGTATGTTTAGTTTATATAACTAGTGCAGCTTATATAACCAACGATATGCTGAAACGTCAAAGTTTTAACCCAGATAAAAACAAAACTGGTAGAAACTGGCTACGAAAATTGCAAAGGAGGGTCCCGAAATTTAATAATGACTGTTTTGTAGCTTAGAAAGCGAAAATATACGCGTATTTTATTGCAACTGCTTCGTTACGTACCATATTACTTCTACAAGAGAAGATCTATAGATTTAAAATTGAATTGAAATTATTTTATGTCGAATATACAGGGTGTAGATTTGGGAATTGCTGACTTCACTGATTAAAACTGTGACATCCTGTATTACCCATAAACTTTTAACTTTTTACATTGAATAAAGAATTATTTCACGGTAAATTTGAAATATCTTCATGAAAATGTCCTCACTTTACCGTTCCTATGTAGGGTTGAATTTCGGCAGCACTACATGTGCTGTGATTCACATCTAGTTTAAAAACTAAATATTCCATTGTCAACTTGATTTTCGAAATGAGTGTTGCAGTAAATGATAAATCAGTCCTTTCTAAAAGCACTTTGTACCTAGCAATGGATTATTTAGTGTTTTTACCTGTTATCTGTAGTGTTTACAACAGTTTTTTAGTAGTTAGTGTCAAAAATGGTTTGCGTGTATAGCATCCCAGAGTTGATGGATATCGTTTTAATTTATGGTGAAACAATACAACATTTGTATTGTGGTGAAGCATTTGTGTTAGTTCGTAGAAAGTGATTAAGACGGACAATTGTTGTTGTAACATCGGGTATGTCAAATGATTTTATTATTTAAAAACACAAATTAATTTTATTAATTAATAAAGGCAAAAGCATTTGAATTTGCCGATATAAAATAGGTGCTATAAAATTCTATTTATTTCTTTCTTTGCGAAAGTTTTTGTCCCTCTTTATCCTTAATGCCGGTGGCATTGTGCTAGGTCAGGTTTTACAGTGGACCAGTACTTTTAAATCATTTTCGAAATGCCATTTTTGATTTTTTCTTTACAAAATTGAATTTGTAAGGGTCCCCTGTACATCCAGAATTATTTTTTTGGATAAGTTCTGAATCACCCTGTATATGTGATAGAAATCACATCTTACCTCATCAGACATTTTCAACTATTTTAGAGACTCACTTGATCCTATAGTATGGTTATGTATTTTGTATATCTTAATTTTTCCAAAAAGTGCTGGTTTCAGTTTCGAATATTTGTCATTTCTTTTCGTAGCCGGAGTACATTTTGTTATGACTATATCTAGTTTTGCAGTGTTAAATTCGGTTTTATGAGCACTACACTTTTTATTTACAGCATTATGTTGGCACACATATAGTATTTATGATAAACGACTCTGTAATACGAAATATTTAGAATATTAGTAGTAGGTATACTGTTTCGATTACCTAAATAGTTATGTATACCTTTCTGGATTTGCCAATTCTCCATTTTCTTATCCACTTCGTTAATGTATGTGCTTCAAAAAAGTTTAAATAACTAGCAGCCTCGTTACCATCATTAATATTTATACGCAAAATAAAATATATTTCGTTGGTTTTAGTTCACACTGATAATCACTTATTCGTGTAAAATTTAAAATATCGTCGTAGATCATAATTATTAAATAATCACAACTTAATAAACATCTAGAATGAAATAGAGCCACACAGCGTATTTTATGTAATAAAATGGGTTTTTATCAGAACCGGAATATGTATAATATAATGTGGTACAACTAAAAAAATAGCTCGGCTTAAAAATTGGGAATATTCACTTGTAAAACACTGAATAAACATAAAACGCGCCAAATCGGCATAAGATTTGCAAATCGGTGACAAGTTTGGTTGTTTTGGTGTAAACCAAGTATGTGGTGTAAACAAACCTTACTCGTGCGGCGCCGGCGTAGAACCAACACTGTACTATTACGAATTGACCAATTGGGCATCGTTTTATATAGCTATGCTTCTAGCGTCCTGTGTTTTAAAATATGCGGGGTAGCTAAATGGAAAAGTTCAGCCATTATTAAAGTCAATTTCTACATTTATATTTTTTTATTAATATTACCGAATAGTGGAAATGCGGTCAGTTCATTTATATATTCAATTATAATTAGGTCAACTTTATTATTTTTTTGTAACTTTCCATTTCGTTTTATAAATTTTCAGTAAACTCACGAAATCAATTTGAAAAATCTTGTTATGACTGGAAACTGGCCCAAGAATGTAAATAAATCGATCTTATTTCCACTATTCTAAAAGTATAGATAGGCGTATTCGCTCAAATTTCATATTACCCGTGCTGTGGCATGCGTACCCTGGAACGGGCCATGGTACAGCTGTCGTGTGGCCCAACAAAGATCACACCATCCCATCCAACTACCTGCCCATTAGCCTGCTCCCGGCTATGAGCAAAGTGGTAGAAAAAATTATCCTAACCCGTCTAAGAACCCACTCCCAAGAACTGCAAGTCATTCCAGACGAGCAGTTCGCCTTCCGACCCAATCACTCCACTGAACTCCAAATCCTTCGCCTTACCGAGCACATCACGGCGGCCTTCAACAGGGGACAGTACACTGGTGCTGTCTTCCTGGACGTCGCAAAGGCCTTCGATACGGTTTGGCATGAAGGCCTACTGATGAAAATGCTCTCCAACCAATATCCCATATCCTTTACCAAACTCATAAAATCCTACCTACACCACCGAAAATTCCGCATCCAAATCCAAGATTCCCTTTCCACCACCCGTCCCATGGAGGCCGGTGTCCCCCAGGGCACCGTCCTGTCTCCACACCTATACACCATTTACAACTCCGACATCCCACATCCCCCCAACACCAACATATACTTATACGCCGACGACCTGACAATCACATCCCAATCCGTAGATCCTAGATATTCCGTCTCCCTCCTCCAAAACTCCTTAGACCAACTTGAAACCTGGTGCAACAGGTGGAAAGTCAAAATTAATCCCAACAAAAGTTCGGCTATCCTTTTTACCAAACGAAAAATCCCACAAAACCTCGACAGACTGACACTATCCCAGGAACCTATCTCCTGGAATCGACAAACACGATACCTGGGCGTGACGATGGACCAGCGTCTCACGTGGAAACCGCACATCGTGGAGACGGTGGCGCGAGCGAAGACCACCAGGGCTAGGCTCTATCCCTTACTCAAAGGTGGAAACACCCTCAGTTTAAGGAATAAGCGAACGCTTATCAAGGTGGTACTTCAACCGCAGCTAACCTACGCCTCCACGGCGTGGGGTCACGCGGCAAAAAGCCACTTAAAGTCATTACAAGCTGTGGAAAACATAGCCCTCCGCACGGCCACCGACGCGCCCTGGTACGTAAGAAACACTGACATATTACGAGACTTACAATACACAAACGCTACACAGACAATAAGACAAAACGCGGAGAAACGATTTGACGTAGCCGCTAGACATGACAATCCCCTCCTCAGGCAAGCCGTTGACTACGTACCCGACGTGACCGACAAACACAAAAGACCTAGACACCAACTTTTTGACCCTGGGACCCCCCCCCCTGCCCGCTAACCTTTTCTGTTTCAGAGACAGCCAGGATCAAGAAACGAAGACAACGACACACACACACACACATACACACCCCCCATACCCTCCTTACCCCTCCCCTCCCGCGCTAGCCTAAGGGCCTCCTTAGCAAAGCGCATCCCAGGCTGCATAGCCGCACTACCCTACCCAACCATACCACACATAAACATGACACTACCCCCGGGGTTTACACAGACGAGCCGGCGAAGCAAGAAGAGCGCCAGAAGAAAGGGCCCTAGCCGGCGGGGCCCAGCCAGGACAAAAGGAGGTCCCACAAAGCGCCTACACCGGCCGCATTTGCGGTCGGGGTAGACGACGGATGGGGCCCACCTACGAAGGCTGTCCAGGCCTACACGAGATGAGGCAGGATAAAGAGGGATAATCCCCCTCGATCCCAAATCATTGAGGCCAATTTCTAGCCATAGAATAATGGCGCGCGCTGTCGTGTGGAATGACTCTTACAATCCTTATTCCTTATATTCATCCCCAAAAATGGGCTATTTAACATGTTACCATTTTTCATCTAATTCAGTGTGAAGAAGAAGAAGAAAATTATAAATGTGGTTATGGAGTGGCTTTATTGTTTACGACCGTATCGTTATTCGTTATTAAAGTTTAGAATTCCTGATAAGGAAAGCAATAAATAAATATGCAAGCAACAATATTAGAAGAAACATTTTGTAGGCTATGCCTAAATGCTATAACGGATTCAAATTGCCGGGTGATAGAAGAAGTCATAAGGGATGTTCTAAAAATTGTTTTGCCGCATGTGGTAAGATCAAGTAAACAAGATTACTTTTATGTCCGTAGTGTAATTAATTTATTCTTAATTGCAAATCCGTTTCAGAATTTGGAGGAGAATGTTACACATTTCATGTGTACAACATGTTCCGTAAAATTATTGGCTGCTTTTAATTTTAAGTCCGTATGTATGGATACGGAGGATTTAATTTTTCCTCACATTAACGCCAGTAAAATGTCAGTGATTGATTTAAAGAAAATTTATATAAAAGAGAAGGGAAATATTCAGTTAATCGATGTATCGGAAGATTGGAGAATCTGTCGATTATGTTTTCAGCCGGTAACATACGGATTTGTGGCATTAAATGAAGTGGACGTTGACATAATTGATGCATATATACCACAGATTGTAAGTTATATTTTAGAGTATTTCTTAGTAAGATATATCTAGGAGTCGGAAAACAATATTTTCTAAAAATGATATTCTACAGGGTGGGCCACCAGTAGCGCCTCGGTTGCTAGGGACCAAACGGCAAATGTTACAGAAACCTGTTTAGGTGGGTATGTGTAGGTTGATTACGGCTACATTTTAAAAATATTTTGAAATATACAGGGTGTCCAGGAAAAGCGTACCATATCAAAGTTATGTTTTTTTAAATGGAACACCCTGTATTTTACTGCATTTTTGAAAGCACCGTAAAAAAATAGGTGAACTTTATTAAAGGTTCTGCATACCTAGGACTTACAGTTTGTGAGATATTTCAATTTTAGTGAAAATGCAGGCATAGCGTAGAAATTTAATATTAGCAATAAAAAAATAATTTTAAGGAAGCAGCTTTTGAGGGTCTATTTTAGATCCTTGAAGTTATAAATTGTTATATTTGTCGTCGCTTAGTATTATACAGGGTGTCCAAAAAACTGCTGAATACTTCTCTCAACTTTAAACAGCAATAACTTGGTTATTTTAAATGGGACACCCAGTATATTTTTATTTTAGGAGTTAGGAAATTTAAAACTCTTTCAAACTGTGTATACCTATCTCTAACAGTATTGGAGATATTGTGCCGTTTCGATTTTTATCGAATTGTTTTGTAAGATGTATCCACGTGTCTTTATCGATGTCTTTATTAAATTAGTTTGGGTTCTTCTTGATGACGTCTCTTCAAAAAAGTACAAGGAGAAAAATGGGAATGCAATTAGATGGCGCATCTGCACATTTTTCATATTCAGTGAGAAATTATATAAATCGAAAATTTAGTATAAATGAGCAGGTAGGAAAGGTCCATGTCAGTGGCTACCTAGGTGTCCAAACTTCCCGTAATGGACTCCTTTATTTCTGGCTAAATAAAAAATCTTGTTCACAGTATTCCACCTACTACTTGCGATGATATGAAGGGAAGGATTAGAGATGCATTTGCCACAATCGCCTCAAATATTCTAAGGAATGTGAGAATATCATTTGCAGATAGAATAAGATGCTGAAGTTCAAGAGAATAGTTATCAATTCGAACATCTATTAAAATTTTTCTTTGTTCTAAAACTAAAATTTTCTTTAATAAATAAATGTTTCATAACTAATTCAGTTACTTACTAGAAACATATTTATACAAAATTAATAACTTTTTATAATTATTCTGCTTATAAAATAATTTTTTGAATATTGTCATGATAATGATAGAAGGAAATTTTACTTTTAGAAGAAACAAGGAAAAATTTTAATTGATGTTTGAATTGATAACCATTCTTTTGAATACAGCATCTTATTCTATCTTCAAATTATACTCTCACGCAAATGCATCTCTAATCCTTCCCTTCAATATCATCGCAAGTAGTAGGTGGTACATTGTGTACAAGATTTTTTATATAGCTTGCAACAAAGAAGTCCATTACGGTGAGGTCTGGACACCCACGCGGCCACTGACATGCATCATTCCTACTTATCCATTTATTACTAAATTTTCGATATAAATAATTTCTCACTGAATATGAAAAATTTGCAGGTGCGCCATCTAACTGCATCCGCATTTTTCTCAATATATTTAAAGAGACGTCATCAAGAAGAACCCAAACCAATTCAATAAGACCTCGATAAAGACATGTGGATACATCTTACAAAAAAAAAAAATTGATAAAAAAAGAAACAGCACAAATATCTCCAATACCGTTAGAGATAGGTACGGAACCTATACACAGTTCGAAGGAGTTTTAAATTTCCTAACTCCCGAAGCAAAAATATATTGGGTGTTCCATTTAAAATAACCAAGTTATTGCTGTTTAAAGTTGAGAGAAGTATTCTGCAGTTTTTTGAACACCCTGTATAATACTAAGTGACGACAAATATAACAATTTATAACTTCAAGGATCTAAAATAGACCCTCCAAAGCTGCTTCCTTAAAATTATTTTTTTATTGCTAATATTAAATTTCTACGCTATGCCTGCATTTTCACTAAAATTGAAATATCTCACAAACTGTAAGTCCTGGGTATGCAGAACCTCTAATAAAGTTCACCTATTTTTTTACAGTGCTTTCAAAAATACAGTAAAATACAGGGTGTTCCATTTAAAAATACATAACTTTGATATGGTACGCTTTTCCTGAACACCCCATATTTCAAAATATTTTTAAAATGTAGCCGTAATCAACCTACACCCACCTAAACAGGTTTCTGTAACATTTGCCGTTTGGTCCCTAGAGACCGAGGCGTTACTGGTGACCCACCCTGTATATAAGTGTTGTATAGACATGAAATATTTATAAAATTGATAAATAACCTATTTACTTTTTTATTTGTCGTATAAATCATTGAAAGATGCCTTCATTTCAGCTTTACATTGAATCGCAATTAACACCAATATTTTTTTTATTGTAGGACATCAGTGCTACCAGGGATCCTGTCATATGCACAGTATGTTTTGATTCGCTTCGTACCCATGGCAGTTTTTTAAAGAACTGCCTTGATGCACATGAGAAATATACAAACGTCGATAAACAGTCTTACTTTAAAACTGAAGAAATCGAAATAAAACTGGAAGATGATCAGGACAGGTAAGGAAATGTCTATAAATTTTGTAGTTTAAGAATTTATTGTACTTGATAACGAGGTATTTCCTAAATAGTGATTTAGAAAATTTAAAATTTTAGAAAACTATTGATTTTTTTAAGTATTTTTTGTTGTCACACAAAACTGCGCAACAATAAGAGACAAACCAACTTAGGCAACCCAAATTACTAAATTCAAGCAGAAGTAAAATAAAAATAAAGTAATGATTTCACTTTAATACTAAACAGTGCATCAACTGTTCAATAGGTCATTTCATGCACAATCATCGTCAATATTGTCAGGTTATTGAAGAGATTGGGGAAATATCTACCTTGTTAATACGCTGGAAACAAATTGAGACTTTCCTTTGTTTTTGTTAGAAATGAGAGCAAACACTTATTTCCGCGCAGTGTAATGATTTAAAAATAAACGGTTTTCAAAAATACCCTGTATATGTAATTTTTCCAGTGATGCACTACCGGAGACCTTCGATAATGAACCATTTGAGAAGAGCGACTGTAAATATGCGGCAGAGGATGGATGTAAAGCTGAGAATAGAGCAGCGAACAAATGTGATAACTGTATTTACGAAACTGGAAGCGCGTTGTGTTTTACAGCACACCGTGCGAGACACGAAAATGATTCAGAAGTGTATAAATGTGAATCATGTAAGTATGAAACTAAAAATAAGAAATTACTTCAGAAGCATCAGTTGAGGCATAAAAACATTTCAAAAATACGGATGCACCCGTACGAATCATGTAATTACAAGACAAAGTGCACGTCTAACCTTGCTAAGCATCAGGTGAAACACAAAGCACAATTGTACGAGTGCAACTTCTGTGATTTCAAATCGAAATGGAGGACCAGTTTCGATAGACATTATATAAAACACAAAGACAAATGTGATGAACACGATTATAAAACCAAACGCAAGGCATTAACATATAGGGCCACGTCAAAGCTGATGATTTATAAATGCAATGGTTGCAACTACGAATCATTGGATGTGAGTAATTTCAACAAACACCAGTTAACACATAAAGACCCTTCTCAGTGCCAAATGTACAAGTGTAACGAGTGCGATTATGAAACTAAATACAAAAGTGATATCAAAACGCATCAACTGAAACATAAAGATCCTTCGCAGATTCAAATGTACAAGTGTAACGACTGCGATTTCGAAACTAAATACAAGTATAATATCAAACAGCATCAACTGAAACATAAAGATCCTTCGCAGGTTCACATGTACAGGTGTAATGATTGCGATTACGAAACTAAGTACAAGATTACTATCGAACGGCACCAACTGAAGCATAAAGATCCATCTCAGACTCAAATGTATAGGTGTAATGACTGTGATTATGAAACTAAATATAAGTTTTATGTGATACGACACCAATTGAAACATAAAGATCCTTCGTTGGTTCAAATGTACAGGTGTAAGGACTGCGATTATAAAACTAGATACAAAGGTGTTATCAGAACACATCAACTGAAACATAAAAATCCTTCCCAGATTCAAATGTACAGCTGTAATGATTGCGATTATGAAACTAAATACAGTTATGATTTAAAGCAACACCAACTGAAGCATAAAAATCCATCTCGGAATCAAATGTACAGGTGTAACGACTGTGGTTACGAAACTAAATACAAGAGTGTTATCGAACAGCACCAACTAAAGCATAAAGATCCATCTCAGACTCAAATGTACAGGTGTAGTGACTGCGATTATGAAACTAAATACAAGAATGCTATTAAACTGCATCAACTGAAACATAAAGATCCTTCACAAATTCAGATGTATAGTTGTAATGACTGCAATTATAGAACTAAGTACAAGGATGTTATGAAACAACATGAACTGAAACATAAAGATCCCTCGCATGTTCAAACATACAGGTGCAACGACTGCGAATACAAAACTATATACAGGCAAAATATTAAAAAGCACCAACTGAAACATAAGGATCCTTCGGAGGTTCAAACGTTCAAGTGTAATGACTGCAATTATGAAAGTATATACAAAGGTCATATCAGAAAACATCAACTGACACATAAAGATCCTTCGCAAATTCAAATGTACAGTTGTAACGACTGCAATTATAGAACTAAGTACAAGGATGGTATCAAACAACACCAACTGAAACATAAGGATCCATCGCAGGTTCAAACATACAGGTGTAACAAATGTGATTACAAAACTATACAGAGGCGTAATATTAAAGCGCACGAACTGAAACATAAGGATCCCTCGCAGGTTCAAATGTACAAGTGTAACAACTGTGATTATGAAACTAAATACAAGAGTAATATCAAACATCACATGTTAAAGCATAAAGATTTCTTGAAGGTTTAAACATACAGATGTAATGACTGCAATTTTGAACCCAAATAATGGAGATATATCATGTGTTAAAGCATAGAGAGCCTTCTCGAATGCAAATTTACCTTTGTGATCTGTGTGGTTTGGTAATTAAGGTTTGCAGGTGTGAATTACTGCCCATCGATATGCAAAATACGGTCAAGAATGGAACTGTTTAAGAGCTATAAGACACCGATCGTAAATATTGGAATAAGATGTAAAACGTAAAGCCTGCTTTGAAAAAATTGGTTGAAACACGAAAATCTCACTGAAACGAGGACTGGCAACTGATTTATAGAAATGGCTAATACCTGGTTTATGAACTGAAGAGTCCACACTTTTCCTATTTCTCACAATGCAACCATCTACCGATTGACAAACGGTTTATAATTTTGACTGATTATATCATGTTAAATGTGTATATATATTTTAAACAACGATATTGTATCTTGTGTAGACCATGTAAATAATAAAAAAATGCTAATTTAAAGGTGCATCATTTTTTTTAATAGAAAACTGTTGAAAACTACTGACTTGACTGTATTTTCACGAAAGATGAAGCGTTCGGTGTTGCCGGTGTTATACACAGGATGTTCAAATCTTAGTCTGGTGTGCGTTATATTGGAGTTAAGTTTCCATAAAATACTGTAAAGTCAAGAATCTCGCACAACCAGTGGCAAAGATACTGGGAGACACCAGCATTTAGATAGTCAGAATTTTGACACAATTGAATATTTTGTAAATTAGACAACTGGATTTCAATAAAAAAAAAATAAAATCCTTCCATTTTATTCGAAAAGTCAATCATTTTCGAATTATTGTTTTTCCATCCCAAAAGCAAGCTTATTATCACACAGTTCAATAAATCGAAGATGATTCTAAAACTATTTTTACAAAAAAAAAAAAAATTTTTGGAATTTTTTGTTACAAATACATTAATATTTACATGTCTCAAAAATGCAGTGGTGTAGAAATTTTCCCCTTGCTACTGATTAGAAAATTTTAAATTGTTTGCAGGAAAAAAGTCCTGTAAATGTTTGTGAAGCGAACAAATCTTCAACAAATAACGATAATAGCTTTATTTCTCAACAGTTATCCATTTAAAGATCAATTATACTTAATTATTAAAAATAATAAACAATCAGTCTAAATGCAGAAAAATACTAATTAAGTAATCACAAAGCAGCTAGATAAAAAAATTGAAAAATTAAAAATGAAAATACGTCAATTAATACAACAAATATATCAATAAATACGTATTTCTCGATTTCGTGGTTATTTCTAGATTTTAGGAAGCGAAGAATTAATGATGTGTACCTCATATTGTATTAATTCGTTGTGATACAGATTGATGCTTCTGTTATAAATTGCCAAAACTTATAAATTTATTTATTAAAAATCTAACTATGTCTTTATTAATGGAAATGTTGAATATAACTAGATTGGTCAAGCTTTGAAATTCAATATTAATTTTTTTACTAATTCCAAATATTTAAAGATAGGACATAGAACTGATGGATCCTTATCTGAATGTAAAATGTCGGCCATTATTAAAGTAAATCGTCTATTTTTACATTAAAAACTGATCTAGATGTAGAAATATTATTATTTGGAAATAAAGAGGAAAACCGCATTCAAGGATTCAGGGAATGATTCCTCTAGATGCATGTTTTTTACTTAGAAGTGAAACCACAAATGTAATCATTTCAAAGATCATGAATCAGTCGAAGCTTGAGTCATTCTTTTCAATGAGCTCATTCATTCTATGTGGTCCAAAAACCGTTAGATATCAATTTTAGTATTCATTATCATTTCTAATATTTGGCCATTTAGCCCGTTGCCATCAGTTATCTAATTCAATCTGAGAAGACGAAGAAGAAATATATAAATGTGGTTATGGAATGGGTTTTGAGTTTACTCAACAAGAAGCGCAATAAATAAATATGCAAGCAACAATCGTGGAAGAGACATTTTGTAGGCTGTGCCTAAATACTATAAGGGATTCAAATTGCCGGGTGATAGAAGAAGTCATAAGGGATATTCTAAAAATTGTTTTGCCGGATGTGGTAAGATCAAGTTAACAAGATTACTTTTATGTCCGTAGTGTAATTCATTTGTTCTTAATTGCAAATCTGTTTCAGAATTTGGAGGAGAAAGTTACACATGTCATGTGTGCAACATGTTCCGTAAAATTATTTGCTGCTTTTAATTTTAAATCAGTATGTATGGATACGGAGGATTTAATTTTTCCTCACATTACTGCCAGTAAAATATCAGTGATCGATTTAAAGGAAGTTTATCTAAAAGAGAAGGGAAATATTCAGTTAATCGATGCATCAGAAGATTGGAGAATCTGCCGATTATGTTTTCAGTCGGTAACTTACGGATTTGTGGCATTAAATGAAGTGGATGTTGACGTAATCGATACATATATACCACAGGTTGTAAGTTATATTTTAGAGTATTTCTTAGAAAGGTATTTGTATGAGCCAGAAAACATTCTCTGCCTATAAGCAGTTAAATAATCAAACATTGCAATACATAATAAAAAGATTCCTGGAATGTTGTGTCATTAATAATCACAATAACAACAGAATGATATGGAAGTACTTAAATGAATATAACATTTATTCGAAACGTTAAACAGCTAAACGTCTGCCAGATTATTTAAATGAGCCAAATGATATAAATAATTTTTTTCTGCAACTTTCAGATAGAGTAAAATCTGTAGATAATGATCTTTTACAATACTATAAGGAAAATTGGATTCGAATTCGATTTTGATTTTTTATTAAGAGTTCAGTACAGTTTCTAAAGGAACGTTAAGCAAAAAATTAGAAATTAAATCATTTGCTACCACATTTAATTAATTTAAATTGATTAAAATACGATTCTTTGAAGTTGTTTGCGAATATTGCCTTTTCTTACCAACATATGTAAATTTGTGTTAGTTAGATTGTGTGTTTCCCGATAATTTTAAAGTAACACGTGTAATTCCCCTGTCCAAGAAAGAAAAATTATGAATAGTCAAATACATGTACATTTAAATAAATATAATATTCTTTCACAACAGCAATCTGGATTTAGACCTGGATATAGTTGTACGATCTACCGAGTTAAGCATCACGGACGCAGGCTGAAACTTGGATGGGCGACTTAAGGCAGGCTCGGTGTCTTGGCTGTGGCAATCTACCAGAGAGCTGGGTCGCTCAACACCTGCCAGCGTGTGCGATAAGCACGGACTTACGTTTTCAACCACATATTAATAAATGTATTCAAAAGGCTTATGGTAATCTGAAAAAGTTATATTCAAGTCGTCATATTCTTTCACCTAAGCTTAAAATTCAACTATCGGATGCTTCGGTTCTCAGTCAATTTAATTATCGCGACGTTTATGGTCCTTGTCTGATAAAATAGAAATCGATAGAATCGAAAAGTTACAAAAATCTTGTTTAAGGTACATTTATGGCATTAGAAAGTTTAAGCCTATCTCTTATAAATTAACTGACGCTAAATGGAGAATTATGCATTCTGTTGTATTATTTCACCGTTTATTAGTTTACAAGTGTCCTCCATACTTAATAAACAAAATAACATATCGTACAGATGACCATACAATTAATTTACATTATAGGGGACTTATATCACCTCCTTTCCATAGATCTTCAATTTTTTGTAGGTGTTTTTCATATAATATTTATAAGTTATATAATGTCATTCCAATGAATATTAAATTATTGAATCCTGTAGCTTTTAAAGTTAAATTTAAGGAATACATTTTTAGTGTTCTCTTAAATTTTTACTGTTAGTATTTTTCCTATATTTGTAGTTTTTTGTTCCTTTCAATAATAAGTCTACCTTGTAGTGCAGACAAATTTATGGATATTTTAGATTTTCTAGTATTGGAGTTAAATTTTGAACTTGTTTTTGAATTGATTTTAGCTCCATTTTACAGTAACCATTGTAACCATTATCATGATTATTATCATTATTATTGTAACAATATTCTATATAAGTTGTATAGACATAAAATATTTATAGTTTTGGTAAATAACCTACTTACTTTTTATTTGTCATATAAATCATTGCAAGACCTCTTCTTTTTAATTTTACATCGAAACACAATTAATTAACACCTATTTTTTTTATTACAGAACATCGGTGCTACCAGGGATCCTGTTATATGCACAACATGCTTTGATTCGCTTTGTACCCATGGCAATTTTTTACAGAACTGTATTGATGCACATGAGAAATATACAAACGTCGATAAACAGTCTTACATTAAAACTGAAGAAATTGAAATAAAACCGGAAGATCATCAGGACTGGTAAGGAAATGTCGATAAATTTAGTTTTTTTATAATTTAATGGACTTCTTTTTTATTTATATTTTTATAACAAGATATTTCCTTAAATAGTGATTTAGAAAATTTTAAATTTGAATACATATGTGAGATAAATCCGTTTTAGTTTTGAAAATCTGTGATTTGACTTGTTCTCAGGCGTGATGCCTTTCTTTCAAACTTCTCCTTGTCCCGATAGTCATAGTTCCTTTTTTAGTGTCTTTTTTTGCCACACAAAAATGCACCACGATAACAGTCAGACTTAAATTTGCACGCATTTCTTCGGGCAACCCAAATTAACGATCTTACCTTAGCTCAATGGAGTTGCAAACAGGTTTCTTCTATTTCATAACATGATTTGACCTTCAAAAAACCTTCAAGTTTGACCTCTATGTCGTGGTCTAGGTCATCATCGTGAGATCACATCAAGCCATAAAGCTTTCAACTAGAATTCTTCGTCATAAGTGCTTGTTCAAAAAATATCCCAAAATCTTATTTAGAACCCTAAAATAACCCTTTAGGGTCACTTTGACCCATAACACAGTCAAGATGAGACACGTGTATGATTAATAATTTCAAAATTTTTATTACTGATTTTTCGTAAAACGCAATATTTTGGTATCACCTATAACCCCTTAAAATTACAACCTCTTTGGAAAATACTCTGTGTATGCAATTTTTTCAGCGACACGCTACAGCTGACCTCCGATGATGAATCATTGGAGAAGAGTGACTCTAAATGTACAGAAGAGGATGGATGTAGAGCAGTGAACAAATATAATACGAAATCCAAGAAGGAGCGCAAAGTATCATACAAATGTGATAAATGTATTTATGAAACTGAAAGCGAGAGGTGTTTTACCGCACACTGTGAGAGACACAAAAATGATTATGTAGTGTATAAATGTGAGTCATGTAAGTATAAAACTAAAAATAAGAAATTACTTCAAAGGCATCTGTTGAGGCATAAAAGCATTTCAAAAATACGTATGCACCAGTACGAATCATGTAATTACGAGACAAAGTGCAGATCTAACCTTGCTGAGCATCAGGTGAAACACAAAACACAATTGTACAAGTGCAACTTCTGTGATTTCAAAACAAAACGGAGGACCAATTTTAATAGTCATTACATAAAACACAAAGACTCAAACAAATGTGATGAATACGATTATAAAACTGAATGCAAGTCATTGCCTCTTAACGACACTCCACAGCTGCGTATTTATAAATGCAATGGTTGCAACTACGAATCAAAGGATAAGAGTAATTTCAACAAACATCAGTTGGTGCATAAAGATCCTTCTCAGGTCCAAATGTACAGATGTAACGACTGCCACCACGAAAGTAAGTACAAGAATGCTATCAAACGGCACCAACTGAAACACGAAGATCCGTCTCAGGTCCAAATATACAGCTGTAATGACTGCAATTACACAGCTAAGTACAAGAATAATATCAAACAGCATCGACTGAAACATAAAGATCCTTCGCAGATTCAAATGTACAGGTGTAACGACTGTGATTACGAAACTAGATACAGACGTTATTTAAAACAACACCAACTGAAACATAAAGATCCTTTGCTGGTTCAAACGTATAGGTGTAACGACTGCGATTATGAAACTAAATACAAAGGCGATTGCAAAAAACATCAACTGAAACATAGAGATCCTTCGCTGGTTCAAATGTACAAGTGTAGCTACTGCGATCATGCCACTAAATACAAGAACAATATCAAATGTCACATGTTGAAGCATAAAGACTGCGATTATGAACCCAAATAAAGGAGATGTATCATGCGTCGAGGCATAAGAAGCATAAAGAGCCTTCTCAAGTGCTAATGTACCAATGCGATATGCGTGATTCACTAAGGTCTGCAGGTGTGAATTACTGCCCATCACTATGCAAAATATAGTCAAAAGTGGAGATATTTAAGAGCTACAAATGTGAATATGACACTGATCGTTAATACTGGAATGATGTAAAACATAACGCCCGCCTTAAAAAACATCGGTTGAAACACGAAAATCTCACCCGAGCAGAATCCGGGAAGCGATTTTGGACTAAAGTTTGTAGAAATCTCTAGTATTTAATTATGAACTGAAAAGTTTCCTGTTTCTCGCAATGTAACCGTCTTCCAATTGGCAGTTTATAATTTCGACAGATTGTATTACGTTAAATATGTACATGTATTTTAAATAGCGATATTGTAGACTGTATAGACCGTGTAGTTAGTAAAAAAGTTTAATTTAAACCTGCATAATTTTTTTAATATAAAACTGTTGAGAACTAATGACCATTATGTATTTACATAGTACCTGAACCGTGCGGTGTTGCCTGTGTTATATACAGCATGTTCAACCAACCAAGAAGAATAGAACACCCAAGAATAACTGCACTTTGTTTTATAAATTTACTTTGAAATTTCAACTGTGTTCAAGATTTAGGGTGTTAAAAATCACCAAAAAATTTCTCCACTGAAATAATGCAGATATTTGAATTAAATTTGGTGTATGTAATATTCGGTCAAATCCATAAAATACTGTAACAAGATTCTTGCGCAGCCAATCTCCACATGCTGAATATTTCCTAGATTAGACAAATTCATTTGATTTTCAACTGGAAATCAATGAAAAGATGTCCCTTCCATTTTATTTGAAAAATTGATAATTTTTGAATTATTGTTTTTCTGTCTCAAAAATAAGCTTATTATTACACAGTTGAATAAATCGAGGATGATTCTAAAACTATTCACTTAAAGAATGTATTGGATTTTTTACTACTACAGCACGTATCTGTATTATTTTTAAAGATATTCACAGCAATTGAATTTGGGACAAGTCTATCTCGGAAGCAGTAGAGATTTCAGAGAATACTATTATTTTTTATTCTTCTACCCACCTTCAAAGATTGATGTACTAAAACTCGTTTTTTATTATCCAGAAACTTAGATACTTATTTATATCGAATAAAGCATTTTGGCACAATAATTTTGAAATATAAAAAATATTCAAAGCTTCTTCGTTCCTTGTCATTTTTAAGCAGTGATACCTTTCGGCAATACTATATGTTCCTTTATTTATAGTTTAAAAATTAAATATTCGATTGTCCGCTTGATTTTCGAGATAAGCGTTGTGGTAAACCGGATGTCAGTGCTTTAAAAATCATTGTGTACCTAATAGTGCATAGAGTTTTATTTTACTTAAATATATTTGTACAAAATCAAAATAAATCTCACTTCGAGTTTAATATTCAATATTTGTGTATTTTGGGCCTTCAGCTGTCAATTTTCTTTTCTAAATGAATTATTTGTGTTGTACTTAGGAGTGTGAGTTGTGTACATGTGGTTGGAAAGGTTATAACAATTTACTGAATGTATTTTGTAAAGACTGCCTTATTTCTCTGTGATTAGGTAAACGTATGAGTTGTTCCTTTTTAATCTTTGTGATGGGAGTTAACTTGCTGAAATGAATTCATCAATCGTTTACGGTTTTCATTAAGTTGAAATTTGTGTTAAAATTAATTTAAGTTTAAGTCGCCCTTAAAACCAGTTACTGTTTCTAAACTAAAATCCGTAGCAGTGCAGTCCAACCAAATTACACTTGGGGAAAAAAAAATTGTTACCTGCACTTTTATCAGTGGAAATGGTAAAAGGGCTTATAATAAACCTNGTGCTACCAGGGATCCTGTTATATGCACAACATGCTGTGAGTCGCTTCGTACCCATGGCAGTTTTTTAAAGAACTGCCTTGATGCGCAGGAAAAATATACAAATGTCGATAAACAGTCTTACGTTAAAACTGAGGAAATAGAAATAAAACTGGAAGATTATCAGGACAGGTCAGGAAATGTTGATAAATCTTGTAATTTAATAATTTATTATACTTCTTCTGCCACACCTTTTTTTTTTTTGAAATTGTGTTTTTTGTTACCACACGAAAACTCACGATGAGAGATAAACGAACTTAAATTTGTATACATTTCTTTCCATTCTATAAGCAACCCAAATTACAAGATTCAAACGGGAATAAAGTAAAAATAAAGTAATGATTTATTAACTTCATCAGGTCCCCACATGAACAATCATCATCAATGTTGTAAGGCTATTGAAGAGATTGGGGAAATAATGACCTTATTAATACAACAAACCGAATCTTCCTTTTGATTTCTTAACAAAAGCTTTGTGCAAATTTCAAATTATGAATCTTGTTTGTCGGATTACTGAAAATGCAAATACACCAGGAAAATTAGCGAAAATAAAAGAGAAACTCGAAAAAAGTCCTATCCGCTAGATTATTGTAAAATTGTCTAAAGGAACATAATACAAGACATCTCTCGTCTCGTGAGTCAAAAACTTTTATTAGCTAACTTTTCTATTTAAACAAGTAAGTGAGGGAAACAGTTTTTTCACTTTGCAGAGAAAACCATCAATTTTAGCGAAAAGTGACTCTCAGGCGGCTTGTAGGGAGAAAAATTATCTACAAAATGAGACTTGTTAAATTAAAATCGGTTAATAAACAAAAAAGTTATTGCAAAAAAACAAGAAAAGTGCCCATTTTTTCATTTTTTATAACTATCGCATTTATTGTTAAAATTTTATAAAACCTATGACAAGTTGAGGGTTTTGTCATACTTTAAAAGTGTGCCAAAAGTGAGTGCTGTAAGTGCAATAGTTTTCGCACAATTCTATTTGTTTATAGAATAGAATAGAATATTAGAATATTTTTATTGATCTACATTAATATATAACATATTATAGTAGCTAGTCAAAGAACACACAATCATAAAAACAACAATTTAAAAAAAAAGAACTAAGGCACTAGACATAGAAATACACATTGATCTAACAATAAAATTTGCTTTACAACATAATACATGTTAGAGTAAAAGCGAACATTAAAAGTCATGAACACTATCCACCATAAAGTCACTAACGGAATAAAAACATTTTGACAGCAAATAATTCTTTACACACAACTTAAATTTGACATAAGATAGTGATTTTACATGTGATGGGAGGATATTGTACATGTTTAAATTTAAGGAATTTCTCGCAGTCAATGCTAAGCCATATCTAGGTAGCCGCAAGAATTCAGAAGTACGGGTACAGTAATTATGTATATCCGACTGAACCGTGTAACTGACAATATTCTTATGAATATCCAATAAACAGTTATAAACAAATAACGATGGCAAGGGCATAATTGCAAGGTTCACAAAAAGTTGGCGACAATGATCTCTATAACCTACGTTGGACAAAATACGAATGGCTTTTTTTTGTATTCTAAAGGTTTTTAAAGCACTAGAGCAGCCCCCCCATAGCACAATACCATAAGACAAGATGGAATTATAGAGGGAAAAATAAACTGATCTTAAAGTATCGGTGCTAATCACTTCTCTCAGTTGCCTTAACAAAAAAACTACCTACCTCAGACAACCTTTTATTCATGGACTCAACATGGTCACACGAAGTCAATTTATTATCAATTGTAATACCAAGGATTTTAACACATTTATGTTCTACATGCCCTGGAGTAGTGGTAAACGTTATAAGTATTACCATTCACTGTAACACACTGACTTCTGTTTTTCAAATAACTTGAGAACAGATTGATAGCGGAGGCTCCAAAAGTTATGAACTTTAAGCCTCTGTACAAACGTTAATTTTCAACCAAACATGATTCTGAAAGCGTCATTGTAATCTTAAAGACGCAATTAAGCAACCTATTCAAAAATATCACCGTTTTTTTGACATTAACATTCTCAAATTGTGCATTAAAAAATCGTGCATTTTTCGCTTATAAACAATTTGAATAACATTGTTGCTATTTATGCTACCTCACCGAAAATAGATTCAATGGATGGCTGGCAAAAAATACAGTTTTAAAATTAAAAAAGTACCCTCTACGACCAACAGGAGCCAAGATAAGAATTTTTTTTTAAAATCGTAGCACAATTGTTTATAAATATTATTTAAGACTTGGAATTTTTCGCAAAATAAAGTTTACGAAGTAAACTACGATTTCTCGTGAATTGCATTGAAAAATGTGGAAAATTAACGACCACGAGCCCTTTAAAGAGAAGGTACTCGCTAAGTAAACTGTCCGGCGGCCGGTGGTGTGGTGGTGGGGGAAGCTCGTCCAAGCGGTCGCGCGGGCGAGAAAAGTTAAATCCAAAGTTCAAATAAGTGCGCGCTGTAAATTTTGCAATATCTCGGGTTCTATTCATCGTAGAAACTTATTTTTTTTTAAACTCGAGTAGCTCGACGAAGAAATAACAATGGGCATATTTACGAATTCGTAGAATAGCCCTGAACCNTTATTATTATTTAAATATTTACGAAACAAAAACTGTCATGACCCGATAATTTTCTATGTGACGTGACGGTCATGACATGTCACGATATCGGTCATGCGCTGATCACATGACCTACTTACATCACTGGTTAACGCTAATATATTTTTTTTAATTGTAGAATATCAATACTACCAGGGATCCTGTTATATGCACAACATGCTGTGATTCGCTTCGTACCCATGGCAGTTTTTTAAAAAACTGCCTTGATGCGCAGGAAAAATATACAAATGTCGATAAACAGTCTTACGTTAAAACTGAGGAAATAGAAATAAAACTGGAAGATGATCAGGTTGCAAGGGAAAAATATAAAAATGTCGATAAACAGTCTTACGTTAAAACTGAGGAAATAGAAATAAAACTGGAAGATGAAGGCAGGTAAGAAAATGTTGATAAATCTTGTAATTTTATAATTTATTGTACTTGTACATGTTTTTTGTTACCACACGAAAACTCAACGATAAGAGATAAACGAACTTAAATTTGTATACAATTCTTTCCATTACCGAATTACTAGATTCAAACGGGAATAAAGTAAAAATAAAGTAATGATTCCACTTCAAATAATAAACAGTATTTCATCTATTAACTTCATCAGGTCCGCACGTGCACAACCACCATCAACATTGCGAGGCTATTGAAGAGATTGGGGAAATAATGACCTTATTAATACAACAAACCGAATCTTCCTTTTGATTTCTTAATAAAAGCTTTGAGCAAATTGCAAATTATCAATCTTGTTTGTTGGATTACTGAAAATGCAAGTGACATCTAGATTGTTCAGAATCCATTTAACACAGACATAGAAACTCACTGAGAATTTCAAATGGAAACGACTGATTTGCAGTGTAGGGATATTTTTAAATATCCATTCTTGAAATTTTACTAGTCTCGCACCAACATAATTTGATGTGGTGCATAAATTTACTCATAGCTGCTTTTCTCATTTGGATCTACTTACTGAGAAAAATCTTCTTCATTGAACTACAGCCGAGACCATAAAACCGAGATGCTTCTACAGTATTTGGAGGACATTCACCATTGTAACGTTATGCTCACTAGTACGTGACTATTACAACTCTGTACCATTTTGGCAAAAATACCAAATAATCAAAAGTTAGTTAAAAAATTAACATTATTGTCCTCTACCGGCTTACACTACCACCTAAATTAACACCAATCCACCAAAAATTCTAACTGGAAGTTTTAACAAAAACTATTATTAAAACATCATCAAACAGTCAATCAAAATACGATTAATAATTTCAGAACGGACATCAGAAATCTCAATAAATTCAAACGCAAACATGTCGGTTCTTGTAAAACTTTAGAGTGATTTTTTGTAAAACTTATTATTTTGGCATCACCTATAATCTTTTAAAATTAAAACCTTATTTTCAAAAATACATTGTATATTCAATTTTTTCAGTGACACGCAACTGCAGAGCTCCGATAATGAACCNTTGGGATTTCTGGCGAAAGTTGATGTCAAACAAAAAAGTATCCAATAAAAAAGTTGTAAATCATGCAAAAATTTAGAACTTTCGTAGAGGTCACTTTTTAAGATAACCTCAAAATTTACGAGAAAAATGCTAAAAACAGTTTTTTCTTTTTTTATTTACGCAAAAATAATTTAATTTTAATGAAACTTGCTCTTTTCTTTCTTCCTTTCTGTGTCTTAAATAAGTACAAATTTTTTTAGATAAAAAAATCAAGAAATTTCGGAGATATTCATTTTTTCCAGTCTGAAACACTTTTTTTTCAAAGAAAATTCTGCTTAGAAAAATCATCGTACAGAGTTCTGTCGGTGAGCATTTTTTTCGTTTCGACATATACTTTTTGGCGAAATAAAAAAATCTGTAGCACAGTTAAAAAACATGCTCAAAAATGCAAAAAAATAAAAATGACTTGCAACAATGGATTTTTCAGTAATTGTTGATAATATGTTTAAATTAAAAAACATTCAAAAACTGATTACGCCATTCAATTCTACGGAAAAAAAAAAGAAAAAACTGTCTCAAAACTTTATTTTTGTACAGTATTGCTATAAACATCTAAGTCGAATTACAAATGCACAAATCATAAATTATCTCTAGATGTTTTGAGATTTCAGCAAAATCCGAAAACCCGAAATTTTGCAAAATCGTTTTATTTTTTTTTCTGGCTTTATTTGAAAACGAATTTTAAAATAAATTGCATATTTACAATGACATTTTTTCGCTCTATACAATGGCGTCAAGATTTTTGCAATCCGACGTTTCGTCTTCGAGGGCCATCATCGGGTTAATTTTTTTTAAATACGTCGCGGCTATTTTTATGATAAAATCTAGTCATTTTTAATTCTGAATGATAATACTATTGTAATCGCTCGTAATCGTACAAAGTTTTTAGGCTATCATTTCAAATTTTTCCAGAGTACGGCTCTGAACCTTTCAAAATTTCTACATTATGAGCTGATCTGGATTGTAGAATTATTCTTATTTGCAAAAAAAGAAGAAAACTGTATTGAAGGAATGAGTGAGTAATTCTTATAGAAGTGTAGATTTTACATAATAAAAATCATTTCATTATTCTCACGCAAGAACCGTTCGCTACCGCTTACCGCTACCAATTTTTTGTACGCATCTCAAATAATAGGCTATTTAGCATGTTGTCTCTAACTTTTAATTCATTGAGAAGAAGAAGAAGAGAAATTTTAATTGTGATTATGGTTTATGGTCTGGAATTATCGTTTCCTTTTCGACGGTATTGTTATGAACGGTTAAAAAAATCATGATCAGAAAAGCAATAAATAAACATGCAACCAAGAATCTTGGAAAAATCATTTTGTAGGTTGTGTCTAAATACTATAAGTGATTCAAATTGCCAGGTGATAGAAAAAGACATAAGCGATATTCTGAAAATTGTTTTGCCGCATTTGGTAAGATCGAGTTAACAAGATTACTTTTATGTCCCTAGTGTAGTTCATTTATTAATTAAATCACAAATCTATTACAGAATTTGGACGAAGAAGTTAAATATTTCATGTGTACAACATGTTCCATAAAATTATTTGCTGCTTTTAATTTTAAGTCTGTATGTATGGATACGGAGGATTTAATTTTTCCTCATATTAACGCTAATGAAATGTCAGTGATTGATTTAAAGGAAGTTTATCTAAAAGAGAAGGGAAATATTCAGTTAAACGATATATCCGAAGATTGGAGAATCTGTCGACTATGTTTTCAGCCGGTAACTTACGAATTTGTGGCACTAAATGAAGTGGACCTTGACATAATCAATACATATATACCACAGGTTGTAAGTTATATTTTTTAGAGTATTTCTTAAGAATATATTTGTATGAACCAGAAAACAGTAGTTTCGATAAATTTTATTCTATATAAGCGTTGTATAAACAAAATATAAAGTTGGTAAATAACCTAACCTAACTTTTTTAATTATCATATAAATCATTAATATATGTCTTGTTTTCAACTTTACATTGAATAACTATTAGTTAACGCTAATATTTTTTTAATTTTAGAACATCAGTGCTACCAGGGATCCTGTTATATGCACAACATGCTGTGAGTCGCTTCGTACCCATGGCAGTTTTTTAAAGAACTGCCTTGATGCGCAGGAAAAATGTACAAATGTCGATAAACAGTCTTACGTTAAAACTGAGGAAATAGAAATAAAACTGGAAGGTTATCAGGACAGGTAAGGAAATGTTGATAAATCTTGTAATATAATAATTTATTATACTTCTTCTGACACTCCTTTTTTTTTAGAGATAGTGTTATTTGTTACCACACGAAAACTTAACGATAAGAGATAAACGAATTTAAATTTGTATACAATTCTTTCCATTCTATAGGCAACCCGAATTACTAGATTCAAACGGGAATAAAATAAAAATAAAGTAATGATTTCACTTCAAATACTAAACAGTGTATCATCTATTAACTTCATCAGGTCCGAAGGTGCACAATCATCATCAATATTGTGAGGTTATTGAGAGATTGGGGAAATAACGATTTTATTAATACACTGGCAACAAATCGAATCTTCCTTTAGATTTCTTAACAAAAGCTTTGTGCAAATTGCAAATTATGAATCTTGTTTCTTGAAATTTTACTAGTCTCACACTAACACAGTTTGATTTGATGCATGAATTTACTCGTAGCTTTTTTTCTCATTTGGATCTACTTACTGAGAAAAAATTTTCTTTAATAAAATACAGCCGAGAGCATAAAACCGAGATGCTTGTACAGTATTTGGAGGACATTCACCGTTGATTAACGTTATGCTCACAAGTTCGTGATTATTACGACTGTGTACCATTTTGGCAAAAATATTTATTGATACTCGTCAAATAATCAAAAGTAAGTTAAAAAATTAACATTAATGTCCTCCACCGGCTTACACTACCACCTAAATTAACACCAACCCACCAAAAATTCTAACTGGAAATTGTAACAAGAACGATTATTAAAACATCAAAGTGGCGACGTTAGAAATGAGAGTAAACGCTGATTTATTTTGGTGCTATGTTCATAAATACTATTAATAATTTCAGAACGGACATCAGAAATTCATTAAATTCAAATGCAAACATTTCGGTTCTTGTAAAACTTTTATTAGAGTGATTTTTTGTAAAACTTAATATTTTGGCATCACCTATAATCTTTTAAAATTAAAATCTTATTTTCAAAAATACATTGTATATTCAATTTCTTCAGTGACACGCAACTGCAGAGCTCCGTTAATGAACCATCCACGACGAGTGACTGTAAAGATACTGAAGAGGATGGATGTAAAGCTGAGAATAGAACAGCGAATAAATGTAACATAGAAATCAAGCAAGAACGCAAAATATCGTACAAGTATGACAAATGTGATGACGAAACTGAAAGCGAGAGGTGTTTAAAAACACACTGTGCAAAACAAGAAAATGATACGGTAGTGTATGAATGTGAATCGTCAAAGTATGAAACTAAAAATAAAGAATTACTTCAGAGACATGAAAACATTTCAAAAATACGTATGCACCAGTACGATTCATGTAATTACAAGACAAAGTGCAAGTCTAACCTTGCTAAGCATCAGGTGAAGCCCAAAGCACAATTGTACAAGTGCAACTTCTGCGATTTCCAAACAAAATGGAGGTCCAGTTTTAAGAGACATTGTATAAAATACAAACACTCAAACAAATGTGATGAATACAATTATAAAACCAAATTCAAGGCATTGTCTCATAAGGACACTTCACAGCAGCCAATTTATAAATGCGATAGTTGCAACTACGAATCAAAGGATAAAAGTAATTTCCTCAAACATCAGTTGGTACATAAAGATCCTTCTCAGGCCCAAATGTACAAATGTAACGACTGCGAGTACAAAACTAAATACAAGTATAATATCAAACAGCATCAACTGAAACATAAAGATCCTTCGCAGATTCAAATGTACAGGTGTAATGACTGCGATTATGAAACTAGACACAGTCGTCATTTAAAACAACACCAACTGAAACATAAAGATCCTTTGCTAGTTCAAACGTATAAGTGTAACGATTGCGATTTTGAAACTAAATACAAAGGCGATATCAAAATACATCAACTGAAACATACAAATCCTTCACAGATTCAAATGTACAAGTGTAATGATTGCAATTACAAAACTAAATACAAGACTAATTTCAAACAACATAAACTGAAACACAAGGATCCTTCGCAAACTCAAATGTACAAGTGTGAAGAGTGCGATTTTGAGACTAAATATCAAAGTGTTTTCAAAAAGCACCAACTGAAACATAAAGATCTTTCGCAGGTTCAAACGTACAGGTGTAACGATTGTGATTACGAAACTATACACAGGTGTTATATTAAATCGCACGAATTGAAACATAAGGATCCTTCGCAGGTTCAAATGTACAAGTGTAACGACTGCGATTACGAAACTAAATACAAGAGCAATATCAACAGTCACAAGTTAAAGCATAAACATTTCTTGTAGGTCTAAACATACGGTACAGTACAGTAATAACTGCAATTATGAACCCAAATAAAGAAGCTGTATCATGTATTGAAGCATAGAGAGCCTTCTCAAGTGCAAATGTACTGGTGTGGTCTGCGTGATTTGCTAACTAAGCTTGCAGGTGTGAATTACATTTGACTAATTCTTATAATTAACAGTAAGAGCAGTCTCATAGTTTTGACATCAGTGAAGATGTAGAAAAGTCGGCCAACGTGTTTCTAAGCCTGGAGAGAAGTGGGGATGATGTGGAGCGAGTGCAGATGTCCATAGGGAGGGAGCGAGACACTCGCTCAATACAGAGGCTATTGAATATAAGATTTTTAAAGGAACTACGACGAAGATATTTTATAACAAATCGTTCAAATGGTCATTTTAGATGAAAAAAGCAAAATTTCGCTATAGTTCATAGGGAAAATTATTTAGAGAATTGAATTTCCCATGGAAATGGCTTATTTAACAAATTTAAAAGAAAAATTTTATGCCAGGAATCGTTAATAAACAATTTACTTTTTGCTTCTAATTTTTTTTCGAGTAAAGATAGGTGTATGGGAATTATCCAATTCTTTGGAGTAATAATCCTAAAGTTAAAGTTTTGAGAGAAAAAATGGAATGATAAAGCGAAGGTGACGCAGACTTACCTAACTCCCGTAGTCTCCGTGCTCTGATGGCTGCCTCAAAAAATGTAGAGAATGAACAGGTCGCTAGGAAAATGTCTATGCACATATATTTATTAAGCGTTTGTAATATTATCATTTATAAAGCGGAAAGCGTGCACTCTCAGTGAGAAAATTTTGCAGGCCTGTCGTCCAGTGCCGAGAATCGGCGTTGCCCGTGTCACCAAAAAAAGCGCGCAAGAAACAGGATAAAAATAAAAATTATATTTAAGTAAGGAGGAATTCAACAAAATTTACACTTTTATTTCAACATTTTAAACTTAATTTTAAAACAGAGCATTCACAAAACAATAGGTATAGGCATTGCTTCATAGAAAAAAAAAGTTGATAAAATTCCCTTCAAAAACAGGTTGTACAGTATTTTTGGATGAGAATTAACTGATATATTGCCGCTCAAACTTGGCCAATTTTTCGATTTTCGTTTTAATTCTCATTTTTTGCAAAAAAGGAAGGATTCGTTCAAGGATTTTCATCATATGACTTGTTTGAAGGGTCATTAAAAATGAAAAAACCACGGGGTGCTATTAAATTAGAGGGTTGATATTGAAGACCGGTGAAAATGCACTTTTGCAGTTTTTTTAAATACAGGGTGTTCCTAAATAAGTGTCGCAATGGAAAACTGTAAATTCCTCTTGAAAAAAGAAACATTCTTTTCCTCTTCCATTTTTCTCTCCGGGCTTTCATTTTCGAGATACACGGTGTNCCATTATTAAATAAATAAATGAAGCTATCGTTCATTTAAAAAGTTATTTCTTTTACATATTAAGGCAATGTAAACTTGTTTTTTCAATATTTTGTTAGTTATTTAATTACGATTTAAATGTAAAATTAAAGTAAAAATTCACAAATTATTTTCAAATGTCCTAATTAATGTTCTTCACCGGCTTACAGTACCACCGAAATTAACACCAACCAACCAAAAATTCCAACTGGAAATTTTAACAAGAACGATTATTAAAACATCAGTGAGTGGTGACGTTAGAAATGAGAGTAAACGCTGATTTATTTTGGTGCTATGTTCATAAATGCGATTAATAATTTCAGAACGGACATCAGAAATCTCATTAAATTCAAATGCAAACATGTGGGTTCTTGTAAAACTTTTATTAGAGTGATTTTTTGTAAAACAATATTTTGGCATCACCTATAATCTTTTAAAATTAAAACCTTATTTTCAAAAATAAATTGTATATTCAATTTTTTCAGTGACACGCAACTGCAGAGCTCCGATAATGAACCATCCGCGAAGAGTGACTGTAAAGATACTGAAGAGGATGGATGTAAAGCTGAGAATAGGGCAGCGAATAAATTTAACATAAAAATCAACCAAGAACGCAAACTATCATACAAGTATGACAAATGTGATGACAAAACTGAAAGCGAGAGGTGTTTAACAACAAACTGTGCAAAACAAAAAAATGATTCGGTAGTATATGAATGTGAATCGTCAAAATATGAAACCAAAAATAAAAAATTACTTCAGAGACATGAAAACATTTCAAAAATACATATGCACCAGTACAAATCATGTAATTACAAGACAAAGTGCAGGTCTAATCTTGCTAAGCATCAGGTGAAGCCCAAAGCAAAATTGTACAAGTGCAACTTCTGTGATTTCAAAACAAAATGGAGGGCCAATTTTAATAGACATTATATGAAACACAAAGACTCAAACAAATGGGATGAGTATAATTATAAAACCAAATACAAGGCATTGCCAGATAAAGACACTTCACAGCTGCCGATTTATAAATGTCATGGTTGCAACTACGAATCAATGGATAAGAATAGTCTCATCAAACATCAGTTGGTACATAAAGATCATTCTCAGGTCCAAATGTACACATGTAATGACTGCGAGTTCAGTACTAAGTACAAGAATGGTATCAAAGTGCACCGACTGAAACATAAAGAACCTTCGCAGATTAAAATGTACAGGTGTAATGACTGCGATTATAAAACTAGATACAATGGTAATTTAAAACAACATCAACTGAAACATAAAGACCCTTTGCTAGTTCAAACGTATACGTGTAACGATTGCGATTACAAAACTAAATACAAGAGTAATATCAAAATACATCAACTGAAACATAAAAATCCTTCACAGATTCAAATGCACAGGTGTAATGACTGCAATTACAAAACAAAATACAAAAATGATATCAAACGACATAAACTGAAACATACAGATCCTTCGCAAATTCAAATGTACAAGTGTGAAGACTGCGATTTTGAAACAAAATACAGGAAAGTTATCAATCGGCACAAACTTAATCATAAAAATCCTTCGCAGATTTAAACGTACAGGTGCAGTGACTGTGATTACAAAACTATACATAGGCGTTATATTAAAATGCATGAGTTGAAACATAAGGATCAAATGTGCAAGTGCAATGACTGCGATTATGAACCCAAATAAAATAAAAAAACTGTGTCATGTGTGAAACTAACTAAGGTTGGCAGGTGTGAATTCAATTTGATAAATTCTTATAATTAACAGTAAGAGCAGTATAGTTTTGACATCAGTAAAGATGTAGAAAAGTTGGTCAACTGGTTTCTGAGCCTGCAGAGAAATGGGGATCATGTGGAGGGAGTGTGCAGAGGTCACTAGGGAGGGAGCCCAACAAACCCTGTAAAATAAAGACGAGCAAGACAGTTTCGCTTCACCTCCTCAATAGGTTAATTGTGTAAATATTTTTTAAACAGCAATGTTGTATGCTGTGTAGACTATGTACTTAACAAAAAATAAAAAAGTCTAATTTAACCACAATTAGTTTTTTTAATATGTAGAATCCTGTGTAATAATGCAGATATTTGGCTAGAATTTGGCGAGCGTAATGTTTGGTCAAATTTTCATAAAATACCGTACCAATAATAATTTTATTCCAGTAAACCATATAACAGCATAGGAAACTCAAATAATAAAAATATTGCAACGGCATCCATAATCGGTAGCATGCACAAATTCAAAGGGGGAATTAATATAATAAAAAATTAACAATACATGAGAGAGAAGGACAATTTATTAAAGGAAATATTTAAAACATAGAGAAAACAAATAAATAGAGCACTTGTTATAATCATCGGCACAATTATAGCAATTTACACACATCCAACAGATTTCATGAGTTATCTAAACTGCGTGGTCCATGTTTTTCATTTCTGGGGAAAGCTTATTGTACAGGGTGTCTACAAAAGATTGGGAAATCTCGAAGCTGGAGATACTGGTGGCCAAAATAAGTCGATTGAGCCAAATATGCCTTATGCAAATGTTGCTGCTTCCAAAGGTACAGGACGTTCAATGTTTGAATTTATTTTGAAACTCAATAATTCTGAAAACAGTGACCAACAAAATTGGCCCTATTATATTTTTTGATATGACGGATAAGAATTTGTAGTATACTAAGAGTTTAAAATGAAAGAAATTGGCGCAGGACAAAGAAATTTTAGATAAAGAATTTTGACTGTTTTACTTCTAACTATAGTACCTACCTGTTGTTCTTATAAATTAACTTATATTTCATTTATACTTCACTAACAATTTAGTTATAATACCTAGGATACGGGATATATAAACATACCCATATCACCTCGGGCAATCACAGTACTTATTGTTAAGGTAGCGGGTGAAATATAATTTTTATCCACACACATATGAAAATCCAACAGTGATGACGTTTGAGCTGGTATGGATATGTTTGGAAATATCTAGCACGGACATTTCCATAGAATATTGTTGTGTGATTGACGAATACATCTCATGTAATAACACGAGTCAAAACGTATAGATTTTTAGTTTTTATTTTGTGTGAATGAATTATAAAATTTTGCATGTATACATTACTGGCATTACTAGATAATTATGCCCATCAGCCGACATCTATCTGGCCTATGACCCTCAGGCTGGATATATTGCCTGAACCAGTTGAGGTATAAAATTCATATATCGAAGTTTTGCATTCAATATATATATATATAGAGCAGGAAGGGTAGTCTTGACTGACTAGTTAAGAAAAAAAAAAACCAGTGATGTATTTGGGATTGCAGTCAATAGTGCTAAGGGCTAATGTAATAAGAACACTCTGTGTTGTTGTCAAGCTTTCGGAAATGTTTATTTCCTTTCTCAAGACATCTACGAGNGAACAGGTCGCTAGGAAAATGTCTATGCACATATATTTATTAAGCGTTTGTAATATTATCATTTATAAAGCGGAAAGCGTGCACTCTCAGTGAGAAAATTTTGCGGGCCTGTCGTCCAGTGCCGAGAATCGGCGTCCGTGTCACCAAAAAAAGCGCGCAAGAAACAGGATAAAAATAAAAATTATATTTAAGTAAGGAGGAATTCAACAAAATTTACACTTTTATTTTAACATTTTAAACTTAATTTTAAAACAGAAGCATTCACAAAACAATAGGTATAGGCATTGCTTCATAGAAAAAAAAAGTTAATAAAATTCCCTTCAAAAACAGGTTGTACAGTATTTTTGGATGAGAATTGACTTGTTTGAAGTGTCATTAAAAATGAAAAAACCACGGGGTGCTATTAAATTAGAGGGTTGATATTGAAGACCGGTGAAAATGCACTTTTGCAGTTTTTTAAATATAGCACGAAAACATAGCAAAATTTCGGTATAGTTCAAAGGAAAAATTTTGTAGAGAATTGAATTTCCCATCAAAATGGCTTATTTAAAATATTTAAAAGAAAAATTTTATGCAAAAAATCGTTAATAAACAATTTTTTACTTTTTTTACTATAATTTATGTTAAAAACGAGGAAAATCTAAAAAATATTTAAGTTTGACCTAATATTAGTCCAAAAACCTAAATTTCAATGCATTTTGTTTTTAAGTAGTCGTTCTTGGAGAAACTGGCCATTTAGTCTAGGTGGTGATTCTTGAATTTTGTTTACTTGTTTACTGTAATATCTATTAGTATTCAAGTTAAATNATGTCTTGAGAAAGGAAATAAACATTTCCGAAAGCTTGACAACAACACAGAGTGTTCTTATTACATTAGCCCTTAGCACTATTGACTGCAATCCCAAATACATCACTGGTTTTTATATATATATATATATGATTCATTAAAATACCTAAAAAATTGCATGGAAAAAAGACATGTTTACAAATTTCTTTGATCTGTTTCAGTTTTATCTACCGCGAATTGTATTTACCTGATGTATTTCTTCCATCATAACAATTTTAATTGCGGAAACTATATAGGTACATCCATCAAATAAACTTAATGAAAGATAATTTATTTTATCTATAAAGCATTTGTTCCAATATATTAATAACAATTATTTTTCATCAAGTTTATCATATATAGATATATTATAGCTTCCAAAATTATAATTTTTAATTTAATGGAAGATCAGATAAATTTAACGGGCGGTAAATAAAAGCGCGAATATATTTGAATGATATAAACGAGTGGAACGCATTTCGCGCCGTAAAGTAATGTTTACCCCTGCCATGGTGGCGCTTTTTTCTTAAGGCTTCCCCACCACCACGTTTTCATCTGGTCTCCCTTCCACTATTCGGTCACTAAGATAAAAGAATATAGATAGGCGAATTCACTCAAATTTCAGGAACCAGATTTTTAAAATTAATTTCCTGCGTTTGTTGAAAATTTTTAAACATTTGATATAAAATATCAATTTATAAAACAGAATGGAATGAAGTGACAAAGATAATTCAGTTGATCCAATTATAATTAATTTTAAACTCACACCATTACAAGCTTTGCATTCGTCTCAAATAATGGGCCATTCATTCTCGTGCGAGCGGTCGAACTGAGCGGACGTGTTTATTGTAAAGTGAAGTGCATTGCAACGAGCAAGATCTACCTGCCTTTATTAAGGCTACCTGGAAAGTATCCTTTTCTTTCCTCTTAACCACCGACCTAATCCCCGGCTCAAGCATAGAGGCCGTCGGCATCTTTGTTACAGGTATCTGTGCCGGGGTTATGCCCAGGTAAGTTTTTACTTTATTTATCAGTTATTTGCATTATTTTTGAATACATTTCTTTAAAATTGCGACCCCCGACAAACAATATACCAGACAGACTAATACACCAAAAGACACGTACGCCCCCGTAAGGGGGCATCCCCACACGACTAACACTTACACACCCACCCACCCACACACACACACACACACCTCCGTACACCTCAACAGATCAGCGAAGAAAGAACGATTAAAGCTTAAGATGCGCACCGTTACCACCACGCATATCACGTGCTTTCTACATCTTACGTGCGCTATCAACCCGTATGTGCTTCGATGTACACGCAAAACGTATCAGACTAGGCGGAATCTTAAAATTAGCATTGATTCTTATGGCCGGAACGCACAAATCGTGGATATCAGGGGGCCTTTTTGTTATCGGTTAGCCGTTGTTTGACGAGCTCGCGCGCGCGCGTGGGCGTAATTATCAAGTGTGCCACAACTTACACGCGTTTTAATGGGGAAAACGCTACACTTTGCCGAATATCGTAAATTAACACTGATTCTAATGGCAAAGACGCACAAATCGTAAACTTTAAGAGGCCTTTTAGATATCGACCGTTAGGGACAGGTTCGAGATCGAGGTTTCGAGCGGAGTATAAAAGCCGGATGCGGCGGTATATCTTCCATTCAGTACGCTGNCATGTAAATTTTCAAATATGTTCATGTAAACTTTCTGAATGTGAACATATTTGAAAATTTGCATGAACATCAATTTGATAATTTGCCTAACAATTGTAATCATTTAATAGAACTTGTAAGGGCTGAATGTGAAAAGTATATCGATGTACGAATAAATCATGAAGTCAAATTATTTAATTCGGTAAAATCTACGAAAAGACAAATATTAAATAAATTAATATTATTTAGAGGATAATAAATATATTTAAATTATTTTGTAGTTTTAGTTAATATGACACTAAAATATACTATTTTCTGAATAATTACAAACTTAAAATTGAATATTTGTCATAAGATGCAATATAATGTTTAATATGTAATAAAAATATTACTTAATCCGGATCTGCTTAAAGATGCGCGCGATCAGATTGCCTTCCACACTCCACTTCCCCGGATTTTGCATTCACTGGTACCCGTGCATTGGAATTAGATACGGCGAGTCTAGGTGGTCTGCGAGTTTTGGCCATTATTCCAATAACCGGTTATTCGGTTATTGGAAATTATGTGGAAAAATACCACAAAATCTCGACAGACTGACACTATCCCAGGAACCCATCTCCTGGAATAGACAAACACGATACCTGGGCGTGACGATGGACCAGCG